TATATATATATATATATATATATGTCAATTCAAAATACTAACTATCATAGTATTTAAATAATACTAAAATGACACTGCTAGTCTCAATGTCTTTTTTAGGTTTTCATTATTTTAATTACATACTTTTTTTGTAGTTTACTTGGCTAGTAATATGATGTGACAAATTTATATACGATAGTTAGAAAATGTTACTAGATCCGCAAAAAAAAAAAAGAAGTATTTATTTATGCATGTAGTTATTTATTTAGCTATTTAAGTTAAAAGAGAGTTTGTGTGTGTCACGTCAACTATGTCAACTTCCCCTTTACAGAAGACCCGCGAGTGGAAACCCTTAGAGCAGAGGACGTGCACAGATATCCCATGGCTGCTCCTGTTCATCCTCTTCAATGTCGGCATGGTAGGAAAACAGACATGTGAAATGAATATAAAGAAATAAAATTCACATTTATTAATAAAAAATAAAAATAAAAAAAGCAACTATTGGACACAATTACCAATCCAAAAACATTAAGTATGAATAATATTTGTTATTAGTTTTAAACCATATTATTATCATTGTCTGATGTTATTTTGTTATTATAGTCATAAGTGTTTAAATGAAGTGTATTTAATTAATTGGTTCAACCGAAGTACTTCATGCTGTCTGTTTTTATATGGTAAAAATGCCCTCTCATACAAGTAAACAATGCACCTGAAATCAGTTCCAGGGGGCAAATATTGCCCATCAATAATTTCTGCTACCTGCCATCGTGTCCTGATCATCATCTTGTGTTTCTATGGCAGCTCTGCATCTGTGGCTTCGCCATAGCGACAGGGGCCGCCTCCAGACTCATATCAGGGTACGACAGCTACGGGAACACCTGCGGTCAGAAGAACGCCAAAATCCCAGGAATAGATCTCAGCGGCCGCGACCACACATCCAGAAAGTGTGTGAGAGCTCGCTGAAACAGAGCTGCTTCCTTTGCAGATCTTTAGATTGACGAGTGATTCAGGAAGATTTTACAGGTGTTGAGTGACAGTTTGTTCAATGGTTCTGTCACAGGTATGTGTTTTTCCTGGACCCCTGTAACATCGACATACTGAGAAGAAAGTACTTTAGACATCGAGACACACAGAGTTTCACAGGTCTGCGGCTCTTGAAGACTTATGAGGATCTCACAAAGTTCTCCACGGCTAACGGTGAGCTCAGTGCTGTGGTGTACAGCTGAATGTCCGGAAATGTGATTTATGCCTAATAGTGTTTTGTTTTTCTGTAGGATCTGATTTGTGCTCCTATGACGTCCCGCCAGACACGTATTCATCTCACCGTAATCGAACAACAAAATGTCCTACACTTCCTGTCCATCCAAGGTAGAAACTTAAAAGATCGCTTAAGTTTTGTTGCTTTTAGGCCATGTGTGTTATGCTAAAAATGGACTAAACTAGTGTAGTTATGCACTACTTTTCAAAAGTATGTTTTTGAAAGCCACTTTCTTCAATTATTTGATCATAAATACAGTGAAAATTGTGAAATATTATTGCAATTTAAAATAACTGATTTCTATGTGAATCTATTTTAAAATGTAAATTATTCCTGTGATCAAATCTGAATTTTCAGCATCATTACTGCAGTCTTCAGTGTCACATGATCCTTCAGAAATCATTCTAATATGCTGATTTGCTGCTCAAGAAACATTTCTGATTATTATCACAGTTGAAAACAGCTGTGCTGCTTCATATTTTTGTGGAAGCAGTGAAATAGTATTCATATATTTATGAATCTCTAACTATTAGGCCACGACTGCTGTGTGTGTGTGTGTGTGTACTTGGATGGGATAAATGCAGAGAACTTGAGTCTAACCTTTTGAATTGAAGTGTCAGTATAAATTATATATTATATGTTTTAAATATACATTTTTCATAAAATATTTCCACTAAAAAGTCACTGTCTAGAGATCGCAAGTTGCAAATCATGATTCATAACTATTGGAACAATAACAGACCCATCGATATTTCCACCCAAACGTCCTCTTTCTGAAGAAAGTATGTCAACACAGCAAAGAAAACGTCTTGTCTTATGATTTCATGAAGTCTTAAAAGATTACTGCATATACATACAGAAAACATTAGGTAGATAAACATAGGTTTGATCAATTTCCATTCAAACTGTCATTTTTTTTCGTGCAGTGCATCTTTACCAGTGTTTCACCGCTGTATTCCCGTTGACATTTCCTGCTACGCCAAGTTTGCCGAGGCCTTCATCACTTTCGTCAGTGACAACAGCGTGGTGCACCGGGTCATTGCTGGAGTGATGACATCCAGAGAGATCATCATGGGCCTGTGTCTGCTCGCTCTCGGTCAGCTGTTCTCATCAAAACTTAGGAAACCAACATTCATACAAATGACATTCCTCAAAACTTCCATTAACATCTTTCAAGTCATAAATATAAAACCTGATTTGCATCAGTGCTATTTTTAATATCAAGATATTATATTATAGTTGTTATTAATATTTTGAATTGGTTTTTATTTACATATTTTCGATTTTCATTTTGATGTTTTAGTATTTGTTTTTGTTTTTTTTTTCGGTTTGTTTTATTAAATATTTACATTTTTATTTCAGTTTGGGTTATTTTAGCACATCATGTTAAACTAAATTAAAATGTTTGACAATGTTTCCTGGGCAACTAGCTGAAATGAGTTTATTTCGCTTGCTGTTTATTTTATTTCATTTTAATTTGAGTTAGTTTTAGTATTTTCTATGTTGTGTTTTTTCCCAATTTTTTATTAGTTTTTGTTTTTTATTTAACATGACTATATAGTTTTTAATATTTATAATATAATAATGTCATTTTTAGTTATTTTAGTACATCAATTTAAACTAAATGAAAATGAGAAATGTTTCATTGGAAACTAGCTGAAATAAGATTTATTTTATTTCACTTGCCATTTATTTTATTTCATTTTAATTTGAGTTAGTTTTAAAAAATTTTTTAAATGTTATTAGTTTTTGTTATTAAACATGAATATGTAGTTTTTATAAATTTTTATTTCACTTTTATTTATTTTAGTACATCAACTTAAACTTTCTTTTTGTTGTTTTCATAATTTTATTAGTTTTAGTTTTTATTAAATATCTCTGAATAGTTTTATTCATTACTAGCTAAAGTTTGTATTCTATTTTATTTCATTTTAATTTTAGTTAGTTTTAGTAATTTTTTTTTTTTTTTTATTGAACGTCTTTATAGATTCTATTAATTACTAGCTGAAATATGTTGGTGTTTTATTTTATTTCCGTTAATGTTTTTTTTAAGTATTAAAATGATTTTGTTTTATGGTTTTATTTTAATTTGTTAACTGCCATAACTGATTTGCAGAAGTTAAAGGGTTAGTTCACCCAAAAATGAAAATTCTGTCATT